AACTATTTTAATAGCTGTGTAATGGGGACGAGAGAGAGAGAGAAAAGTCACGATATCCAGTCGGACTCTGGCCGAGAATTCTCATAAAGCTGTTGGACAAGGGCCGGTCCCGTGCAGGGCTCTATTCGTTCCCTCGTTGCCCCCAAACTGCCCGGGACCATATGCACCTGCATACACTGCATAGCCAGACGCTACGCCACTGATCTTATTTGTTCTTATCTGTTCATAAAAGTTTTATGTTTAATATAAGCGACTTTGTCATTGTAGCATTGTTGATGTTGTGTGTGTGTGTTTTTCATTAAGAGTAATATTGAACCAACCTTAAGAATTAATTTTGTTTCAAGAATAGGAAAGACCTAACGTTAAAGATCAGAATAAGCGCTGCAGATGTGAGAATGCGAGATTAGTTGCTGCTGAGGTAGACGCTCTCGCTCTTTCTCGGCTGTCTGTAGAAATTGTTGTTAATTCTTAATTTGAGAACGGCAGAGACATTACAGGTTATAATATAATCAAAAAATCATGGCAACAAATGATTTTTTAAGTCAGTGTAATACGTTTAATCAGTTTAAATGATTTTCACAGTCAATTTGATTCAACTTAACTCATATTTAACCGTTGCTTCTTGTCATTGTAGGTTTAGGCTACTTTTTTCAAGTAATACCTTTGTGCAAGGAACAGAAGGAAATTAAGTTACTCTGGACTGAAAATCTTGCCATCTGCCAGTGGTGGACGAAGTACACAAATCAAGTACTTGAGTAAAAGTACAGATTCGTATAATAAAATATTACTCCAGTAAAAGTAAAAGTACTCAGTTTTCAATTTTACTCGAGTGAAAGTACAAAAGTACTTGATTTTTTATGTACTTAAGTAAAAAGTACAGATTGATTTTCAGTTACAATAATTAGTACTAAATTTCAACATTAGTAACTTACTTTTAACAGCATCAGATGCGCGCACGCTCACAAGATCTCCCGGTTCTTACTTGTGAATTCAGTTCACTGGAGACTCGCACTAAACGGTTCATTTGAATCAGTGAGTTGTCGACTCGAGAACAGCTGCAATCGGATCATTCCAATTCGTGAATTAATCATTTGGTGCAATTTGTGAACCAATTTAACGGGATCATTGAAAAGAATCAGTTCGTTCTTGAATCAGACACAGCTTCTGCGTCTCGGAGCATGTGATATATTATAAGGAGTAATAAAATGCTTTATGAAATGTAGTGAAGTAAAAAGTACGATCTTATGCTTTGGAATGTAGTGAAGTGAAAGTAAAAGTTACTCAAAATAAAACTACTCCAGTAAAGTACAGATACTTGAAAAATGTACTTAAGTACAGTAACGAAGTAAAACTACTTAGTTTCTGTCCACCACTGCCATCTGCCATTACTCTCAAGTCTCTCACACTTCTACAAAAATCTTTGAAAAAAAGGACTTTAAGGTGAATAAATGTTGGTGCATTTGTAAAACAAAACAAAAAAGATATCCCATTCCATTGAAGTTTTCGCAGATCTTTTATTGGCAGCTGTCAGATAAAATCACATATAGTCTGGGATGTCCTAAAACATTGTTGTGGAGCTTCAGTGTGAGCACAATAGATCTGCCCTTTAGCCCACCAGTACTTCCTGAAATCTCATCCTTTTATTTTGTCTCCCGTTTTTGCCTAGTATCAGCGTTTCAATATCAGAACATCATCTTAAGTGTATTAGAAACCATCACCGTGGTAGCATTTATCTCCCTGTGTTTCAGTGTACCCCGATTGTTTTGTCTGATTCCAGGGGCCAGTAGACAGTAATGGCCCAATCTGTTTAAAGTTTCAGTCAGGCTGTGACACTTAAAGAGATTTATAGAGTCGAGAGTTGCCTGCTAGGCTTACCACTGCTGTCTCTGCTGCTCGTGTAAATGCTGCTCTCATGTTAAGGCTCTGTGTGTTGAATGGAGGTGTGCATATATTACATGCACTGTGGATGCCCTCAGTGTTTGCTTTGTGCTCTTTTAGTACTGCTTTGACCCACTATGCACAACAATTATAGTCCTCTTTTATAAGTATCTTGTTGTTAGTCAAAATATGCTGTATGAATAATATGATATCAGAACTTTGCAGAATACAATATCTTGCAGTATTATATTACAAATAGCCTACATATGCTGTCAGTACATTCCATAAAATATTTTAAAAAATCATTGAATGTTTAAATATTTTCATTTAAACTGTTTTTCATTATTGAATATCAAAATATATATTAATATGAAGACTCTTGAAAATATAATATATTTATTATATATTTATAAAAGTAATATATTTATTATATATTTATAAAAGTATAAATATTTTACAAGTATATTTCATGTTTACAGTGGCCTGAAACAACATTTGGACACTTAAAAATGAATGTTTTTGCATTAGATGCAAAATATCAAACTAAGAGTCATCTACAAACTAATTTATCGTAATTGTAAACAGTATGATAACTTTTAAGTTCAAAAACTTTTAAGTTTAAAGTTTTGGTCAGCTTTCCTCTAGTGTAAAACACTAATTATTTTCTAGACTTTTGAATATTTATGCAATTTAGAAAGTTAATTACATTTTCAATCTGGCAGCTTACCGTGGTCATTACTGTCTTCATCTTCATCCTTCATAATTACACACGCACACAAAGCCAGAAAATCTGCATTAAATTTCTTCTGTACTTTTGTAATCTGTTGAAGGGAGTTACTTAGTCCAGAAAGCAACAGGCTATTGCACAGGAGAAGCTAAAGCTCAAAACTAATATATATATATATATATATATATATATATATATAATTTCTCTTCTCTCTCCTTTGCCTGTCATGCACTGCTAATACGGACATCTTCAAAGGCTCAGGTCAGTGCCTCATTCTGTGTTTCTCCCTGTGCATCTGTTAACCCCACTGCCTCTCTGGCCTCCGTGGCCCCAGCCCTCCTCTGAATAAGAGGAGCACTAGTGTATTTTGATCACGGACTGACTGAGATTTAAATTAGTATGAAGTACTTTTCATGTCATCTCTGGCCCTTCGACTGACATTTGAGAAGGATCAGGGGACTTCATTATCTGGCCCAGAGTACCTACATCCTCCAAAAGGTTACAGGAGCTGACCTGTGAGGAACATAGCTGGTTTATTTTTCTTAAAATATTACATCCATTTGAGAGCTAGGCAGTGAATGTTGCTGTGAAGGGGGATAGAATACTATATTTGTGCTATTTAAAGAACAGACGGGAACCATTCCTTAATATGCCATAACCAAACTCTGCCTTTGCATAGTAAAATCAGACGGCAGGTTGGATATTTATTGTAGCCTCATAGAAAAACTCAGGCGCTGTAAAACTGACTTTCCCCTATTAAGGGCTTTTTAATAAAATTGTTTGCTTCTGTTGATGAGTGCTGCTGAATTAATGATTGTTTCTTAACATGGCAATTTAATTTCTTGATATCGTCATGTTTTAGAGCTTGATATTTGTCTATGTTAATGAAATTACCCTTTTTTAATGCTTCAGTAGATTTATTGCCAATTTTATTCATCATCTTTTCACTCACTTCTCACATCTTGAGCATCGTCTTAACACTTGTTTGATTATTGTAATTGGAAATTCAATGACACTCATTAAAGGAGAGGAGAGGAGACTAGGAGAGACTAGAGGATACAAGAGGAGAGCGCTGATGGGGCTTTTAGCAGCTGCAGGGCCAGATGGGATATTTTGAGAGCGCGTGTTAGGGTCTGTATATCCCCTTATGGAGGAAGCTATAAACATACAGTCTCATTTGTTCACTGTGTTTTCACACACTCTTAAAAATAAAGATGCTTCAAAAGGTTCTTCAAGCGATGCCATAGAAGAACCATTTTTGGTTCCACAAAGAACCATTCAGTCAAAGGTTCTTTTTAAATGGATTTAGCTGTAATCAATGCATTATTGCTGTCTCTGTGTGTAGGTGTATGAGGCTGTGCCCTGTCGAAGTGAGTGCGGTCAGTACGAGTGGGTAACAGACCCCTGGTCAGTCTGCACCATCAACACAGTGGACGAGCTGCCAGCCTGTGGTGAGGGTGTCCAAAGCCACAAGATTCGGTAAGCAAGGACACGTTCTTACAGAATAACCCCATCACAGATGCTTCTATTGGGGGTCACGACCCACTCCATTCTGCCACCCTCGTCCTCCACATCCTCATTCCGCTGTTCTTTCACTGTGACAGGTGTGTGAGGCGTGGCAGTGGGGATCTGGTTAGCAGTGTGAATGAGACCCTGTGCGACCAGGAAGAAATCCCTCTCCAAGCTCAGACCTGCATCCTGCCATGCCCTAATGACTGTGTGATGTCCCAGTGGAGTCAATGGAGCACCTGTTCAATAGTAAGATGTCCTTTTTGTCTGCTGCTATATCCTCAAGGCACAATTTAAAAATTCAGCAACATTCTGAGCGGACTGTGATGCAAGGACCAGCGTACAGAGGTCCCAGAAAGTATTTGTGTAGTTTTGGACACTTAAGCCAAGTGTGCAATAAGACCAATAATATTTACATTACTGTTCAAAAGTTTGGGGTTGGTAAGGGTATGTAATGTTTTTAAAAGAAGTCTTGTCTGCTCACCAAGACTGCATTTATCAAAAATCATAAATATTTAAAATGTAAAATAACTTTTTGAAATTGAAATTGTAATTCAATTTTAATATATTTTATAATGTAATTTATTCCTGTGATGGCAAAGCTGAATTTTAGCATCATTAGTCCAGTCTTCAGTGTCACATGATCCTTCAGAAATCATTCTAATATGTTGATTTAATGCTTAAGAAGCATTTCTTATTATTATCAATGTTGACAACAGTTGTGCTGCCTAATATTTTCACGGAAAGTGTTAATAGATTTTTTCTGGGTTTTTTGATGAATAGAAGGTTCAAAAGAACAGCATTTATTTGAAATATAAATCTTTTGTAACAATGTAAAAGTGTCATTTTGATCAAACAAATATTGCATCCTTCTGAATAAAAGTATAAATGTCTTTAAAAAAAGGTCTTATTGACCTAAAAAAAAATTCAATGGTAGTGTAAGTTAAATATTAATTTGTCTAGTTAAATTTATAATAAAACACTAAAAACCTTTAAAAGCTAAAACAATTAAAAGCTACACATAAATTTAGGGAACAGTAATACTTGCTTATAAATAAGTATAAATTGCGCTTTTAATTTATTATGAGCATGTGTTGCATAGAAAGTGTTACCATTACTTTTAACAGTGTAATTAGCCAATTATTCGAGTTTTAGTGCGTGTTGGATGACGGCAAATATATTAGGATATTAATTCAAAGATATTAAGAAAATATATCTACCAATACTAATGAAGCACATGTGAAGTATCGTCCTGTAAAGCAGATAGATACTAATTCTCCAGATAGAGCCTAATGAAGGAAATGGGCATGGAGATATGAATGAGATGATAAGAGCTTTACTGCACAAAGACCATGAAATCGCTGATCATATCAATACTGATACTCCTCCTCAAAGCCATTTGACTGACTTAAGGCCAGATTAGTATCGTAAAGGCGGTCTAACTTCTGCCCTCAGATCACAATGCATCTTTCTCTATTCTACTTTGCTATTTCATAGGCATTAGCTTAATCACAATTTGCATATTTCTGTGAAAACTACACTCAGAAATTACACTCAGTTTGGGGTCAGAAAGATTTTTTTGTTGTTGTTGTTGTTTTTGAAAGAAGTCTCTTATGCTTACCAAGGCTGCATTCATTTGATGAAAAATACAGTAAAAACAGAAAAAAAATCTTACTGACCAGAAAATTTTGAATGGTATAGTGTACATATGTAAAATAATTTAAAGTATGAACTGAGTCAGAATGGCAATACCGGAAAATCTTAGAATTTCATAGAATTGCATCTTAGAATAGCATCAGACAACATTATTGATTATGGACGTTATTAGCCCAGAAAGCATGCATGCATACAATATCTAATGGAAGTATGCAATCCAGGCTTGTATGAATGTATTGTGATGAGACATACTTTTGATGTTGCATTTAATTGAAAAGCTATTTGAAAGGAATTGAAATGCTCTGGACAAGGACACAGAATATGATATTTAAATGACACTCTAGTCTGACGTTTCCCGTTTGTGTGTTCTTTTGTATCCTTTGGTTACGGGTCAGGCTGGAGCACCTGTCAGCTGAGCGAACATGCCATCTGCGGCCAGGGCTTGAGGACACGACTCTTAGATTGCATCCGCAGCGATGGCAAAGTTGTGGATTTGAGCGTGTGTGAGGAGGTAACCTTCATTTCCTGCCGCCCCTCTCAGTACAAGTGTTCTCTGAGGGGGAATTAAGCACTGTGGGATTGTATTATGTCCTTCAACTGCATGTACTGCAAATCAGCCATGACTGTCCATTAACTCCCTACAGTATTGCTCCATATCCAGAAAATGATTCTTTCATTGAAGCCTTTTACAGTAATAGCCCCTCATTGGCTCTCTTCAGTATTTGGGTGAATGGAGTGATAGCCCCAAAACTGTATTCTTCTGAAAAGCTTGGCCTAAACTTCAGTGCTGTTAGTTTCCATGTTAATTTAGGACGTTGTTAACTCTGTGTGGTTAGGCAGGCCTAGACCTGCTATATGCAGTGAACTTCTATATGTCCCTGCTGTGTAAAATTGTTCATCATTTACTCACCCTCATGTCATTCGTTCTTCTGTGGAACACAAAAGAAGACGTTTTGCAAAATGTCCAAGCTGCTCTTTTCCATACATTGAAAGTGAATGAAGACCAAGTGCTGTCAAGCTCCGAAAAGAGCAAATAAGTATCATTGTGCGCTGTGTAGATTACCAAGTCTTCTGTCATATGATAGATGTGTGTGAGAAACAGAAAGAAATTAAAGTCATGAATCACTCAAAATCTTTGTGTAACTCTCATTTTTGTTTACTGGTGTTTCTTCACATATGGACAATTTTGGGCCCGTGGACTTGTAGAAAAACCTTTCTCATTAGTTTACTTAACTTGTTCATTAACAATGTCTAACAGTGGGCATATATACATCACAGGAGGAGTCATTTGTTTTTTTTTTTGTTTAGTTTTTTATTTCCACCATGTCTTAGTTTTTTAATTGTGTTTAATCTCATTCTTTTGTGAAAGTGTTTTATGCAGCAGCAGCTTGTTGTCCACCACAGAGAGCCACTGGATAAGAAATCCTTTTTAGGTCTTACAGCTCAGAATCAGTGTAAATGGTTCATTTAAATTGGTTCATTACTGGCACGGTCTCCTTGATATGCACTGACATCTATCAAATACACTAAAAAGGTATATTTATTTTATGAAATAAATATTAAATAATTTATTTTTTATAATAAATATAATAATAATTTAATAAGTTTAGATGATCATAGTTTTAAACATGCCTAAACTGGCCTGGATCAACATGAAATTCATACTGGTGTAAGATGATCTTGAGCCATCTCAGATGACTGTTTCTGTCTATTCCTGAATTGTACAGTTTATAAATATTGCAACTATACGTGTGAATAATACATGAATCCACATCATTGTCCCAAGCTGCTAGAGACTCTAATGCAGGCTTGATGTATTTTTAGCCCATTATCTGCTGTTTGCCATATTTTCATACAGTGCATTCACAGATGTCTCTTCACGTACATCTCTGTTGCAGGTGTTATGATTCGCTCTCGCAGCATGCTTCAGCAAGCTCATGAAGAGGGACGCCCGTGCGCCTCTCAGCTTTCCCTGACCAAACCCTGTCCCATCAGCCCCTGCTACACGTGGCTTCTGAGCGATTGGTCTCCCTGCACAGTGGAGGTAGATTCTGGGCAAAAATAATTGGATCTGCATGTATTCTGCAGTTACTGGTTATTGCACATCACCTAACCTGAGGGCATTCAATCCATGTTTCATATGACCAAGTGGTGTTGAGACCAGCCGCCCGGCATACCTGTCTGTTACTGGCACAACACTTGAGTTCTTTAATTGAATTTTGTAGAAATTGCACACATGCCGAGTTTGTGTGTGGGAGAGAGGGACTTTGTGTCATTGAGACGTGAGGTAACTGCTGATTAAAATTATGCTGCGATCCACAGTCTTATCATTAGAGGAGAACAGTGGCAGAGTTCAGATTTTCATCTCCTCTCTTCTGCTTTTCTCTCCTCTCTCCTTTGTATCTGCAAAGGATTTTAATTGTATGTCTTGGGGTTTTGCACACATCCCTGGAGTCATGCTTGGCCAGATCAAAAGCTGTCCTCCTCATAATATGAACAAAAGAAACGTTGCACACTTTTAACATATATTTGTGCTTTCTTTGGTGCTTGGTGTGTTGGACACTTTTCTATTCATAAACATTAACACAATTCTGTGATATGTGTGAGTCAGCCACGTCTATCAGCGGATCCATCTATGAGCATATATCTGTGTAAGCGCTCGGTGAAGAGTGTGAAGCGATGGTCATTGTAGCCAATCACAGACATATCTGTTGAGCACGAGAACACAATGGCTGGAAATATTGGTATCGTCACATTATAAAAATGTTAGTACCGACTGGTACCGACATCGGTACTTTTAGTTGTAGCTTGTGTTATTACATACAATTCTAGAGACATGCTAAACCAAAAATCTGAAAAGATGCAATTTTCATAGTTAACATTTGCAAGGCAAATGATGTTTAATTGAAAAAGAAAATTTGTAACACATGCAATAACAACAGGAAGAAATGTGATATTGAGGTTAAACAGTCCATGAACTTCATGGAAGAGTGAAGAAAAAGTGAAAACTGCAAAAAGTGTATATATATATATATATATATATCAGTATTTTAATTATTTGTTATATAATTAATTAAAGGTGAAGTATACAGTTTCTGCACTAATAGTGTCACCTATTTGCAAATGCCCCTTCCACTTGACTCATCATGCCCTTATAATGATTATTATTCTTACAATATCTTATTATTTTATCTGGGGCTTGACAGTTAAGACCCAATGTGTGACAAAAATGTAGGTTTAGCTTACCTGTGGAGAAGAAACCGTGCAGGTTCATTGTCTCAATTGAAACCCAAACACTGCACTTCTGTAACCGAATCTGAATTTCTTTTCAATATCACGTGTCAGCTGTGGTCCCACACCAGCTAAACACCCTCTGGCTCAGCCTGCCACAGTAGCCACACCCCAAACTCGTACCATTGGCTGAGCTGATTAAGATAATGTATTTTAGACTTTAGCAAACTTTAGCTTTAGGCAAAATTTGTTTATGACAAGAATTTAAGGCATTAAAGGGATAGTTCACCCAAAAATGAAAATTGTCATTTACTCACCCTTTATTTTCAAGAATGTTCTTATCCAAACAGTTGATGGTAGCTATTAACTAATATAGTATAGAAATACTGTTGAAGGCATAGTCTACCATCAACTGTTTGGTTACCAACATTCTTCAAAATATCTTCTTTTGTGTTGAACAGAAGAAAGAAACTTAAAGGTTTGGAACAACTTGAGGCTGAGTAAATGATGACAGAATTTTAATTTTTGGGTTAACTATCACAGAAGTTTGTTAGATTTATACTTGCAACTAAACAAAAGCATCTTTAAAAATGTTAAATTATTAATTTTAATTTTAATTTAACAAAAAAATAGATATAATTACAAAAGGTCTCTGAAAACAAATATCTTATGCAATATTGTGTGTGTTTTTTTATTTTAGGATGTTTAGATATTTTTATTGGCAAATAGGACAAAAATACTGATAAAATTTTTTGCTGTGATAGTTGAAAGCTCAGCTGTGTGATCAGGTCAAATACTCACATTCATGAGAAATGCATGTTTCAATCCCAGCTGTCAGTCATCCAGAGAGAGGTGTCACTGTAATAAGCTCCTCTGCCTCACTGCTCACAGCTCGTCCAGATTAATGAGTCAGCCGTGTGGTTTTGTGCAGGGGGCAGAATGTGGAGAGGGCAAGAGGGAGAGGAACCTGACGTGTGTGGTGCACTGGTCAGACTGGCCGGACAACTCCTTCCCTTCGAAAACGGTAGAGGACGAGAAATGTGGAGACCGGGTGAGAAAGGAAAGCGAGCAGGAACTGCAGCAGCCCTGTTTCGTCCCCTGTCCAGGTACAACACTGATTCAAAGCAACATTTCTTTTACTTCTTGTTTACATTTTTGTGCACTAATGCTCATGATTCATTGAACACGATTTATTGTTTCATAATCAGTGGCGGATGTTGATAAAGGAATGTTTTTTACTACTACTCACTACATCACAGTAGAAATATCCTAGGAATTAATATTTGTCCTGTTCAGTGAAATGAAATGAAAGTTTGTCGAGCAATGTCCCACTTTTTTAACCTGTGAATACATTTCACCTTCAGGCTATCGTTGACTTGTGTTAGCCTTACTTCGGTGTCTCTCTTCATTTCATAAATGTGCTGCGTGCTCTCAGGGATGAACATATGCTGGGAAGAGAGGGGAAGAAAGATGTCAGAGTAAGAAAGGTAGAGACAAAAAAGAGAGAATCTAAGAAATGAACGAGTTAGAGAGGGTGGCATATGGTGTGCAGTGTGCAATGCTGTATTATATGTTTCGGCAGTTCCAATAAGGGATGAAAATAGACTGGCTTCATGAAGATGATGGATAATGAGATGCCTGGGCACACAGATTGTCTCTAATAGCTGCAGAATCAAAAGGATGTCATGGCTGAAGAGCTTGTGCTAGCGTGCGCAGGTGGGGGTGTAGCTGTCGCTGTGAATCGGCCTGTGTTCTGAGGCATTCGAAAGGGTCAGTGATGTATTACCTTCAGCTAAGGAAGCATTAATTGTATCTGAAGACTTCATCTTACATTCAATTCTATGACAGGAGGATCAGATCAATCTCACTGGCCTGCACAAGTAAAAAAAAAAAAAAATGTATTATTCTTCTTCTTATTATTATTAGTAGTAGTAGTAGTAGTAGTAGTAGTAGTAGTAGTAGTAGTAGTAGTAGTAGTAGTAGTAGTAGTAGTAGTAGTAGTAGTAGTAGTAGTAGTAGTAGTAGTAGTAGTAGTAGTAGTAGTAGTAGTAGTAGTAGTAGTAGTAGTAGTAGTAGTAGTAGTAGTAGTAGTAGTAGTAGTTTGAATTTGAAGTTTGAATCTAGATTTGTAAGTTTAAATGTGTCATTTTTAAGTAAGCGATAATGTACATCCAGCCGGTTGTTATCGCAGAATAAACTCCGACAGGATGATCAGGACCCCGATGCGAAGCTATTTACCACATAAGTAAATAATCAGAATATTGATTTGAGTTAAAATATTTTATTAGCTCTTTAAACGCAAGCTTCACAAATGGCTTTGAGCCTAGACGCATTTCAGACAAGACAGACATTGAAGGCATAATGTATCACTAACTAGACAACTTTTCAGCACAAAAATAAAGACGAGGACATAATAAAACTTTAGGTGAGAAGAAAGCGTTTTAAAGTCTTACCTGTTTATTATCTTAAATCCATTACAGTGTACAAAACAATCATTCTGTCAACAAGACAAACACTTCTATAATAACGTTACAGTAAGCCTACTATTAATACTGAAGTCTTCTGGTTTCATTTTACAGTAAATACAGGCACAAGATGATAGCAGTTGTGTTTGAATGAAACTAGAGAGATCACAGCAGTGTGATATAAGAAATGTGAAAGATGCGCTGGCACAAAATAACCGGATGAGCGGTGTGATATTCGGTGTTATGTTGCGACTGACCTATCAGAATCACGTATTCGAGAATTGTGTAATAAGTTTAAATACATAAACCTTAGAGTTTTAGTGTAATCATTTAACCAGATGCGAACGCTAGTAGCAGTGTTAACAAATAAAGATATATATATATATATACAGTGGGTACGGAAAGTATTCAGACCCCCTTAAATTTTTCACTCTTTGTTATATTGCAGCCATTTGCTAAAATCATTTAAGTTAATTTTTTTTCCTCATTAATGTACACACAGCACCCCATATTGACAGAAAAACACAGAATTGTTGACATTTATGCAGATTTATTAAAAAAGAAAAACTGAAATAACACATGGTCCTAAGTATTCAG